TCCTTCGGTTACCATGAAATTGCATTTTTCCAAATTAAGCACCAAGTTGGTTTCCACACACCTTTCCAATACCACATCCAAGTTTTTCAAACAAGGATCAAAAGATGGTCCAAAAACTGAGAAGTCATCCATAAAAACCTCAATTGACTTTTCAATCAAGTCTGAAAATATTACTTGCATACACAGTTGAAAATTCGCCAGTGCATTACACAACCCAAATGACATCCTCCTATAAGCGAAGATTCTAAAAGGGCAAGGGAGAGATGTTTTCTCATGGTCCTCCGGGTTCACAATAATTTGATTGTAACCCAAATAACCATCTAAAAAACAATAGAATTCTTAACCGGAAAGTTTCTCGAGCATTTGGTCCATGAACAGAAGAGGGAAATGATCTTTCCTCGTAGCTTGGTTTAGCCTACGATAATCAATGCACATTCTCCACCCGGTCACTGTTCTTGTAGGGATCAACTATTTTTCTCGTTTTAGATAATTGTCATCCCTCCTTTCTTCGGTACCACTTGCGCTGGGCTAACCCAAGGACTATCAGATATCAGGTAAATCATTTCGGTATCCAACATTTTCACCACTTCCTTCCTAACCACCTCTTTCATGGTAGGATTTAAGCGACGTTGAGGTTGAGCAACCGGTTTGAAATCGTCTTGCATGAATATATGATGCATACAATAAGAAGGACTTATTCCTTTTAAACCGGAAAGACTCCACCCCATCGCATCTTGATTCTTTTTCAATATATAAATCAATTTTTCCTCCTCATTTTTGGTTAGCTCGTTTCTTATGATCACCAATTTATACCCCTCATGATCAAGAAATACATATTTAAGATGAGAGGGCAACGACTTTAATTCAAGCTTGATTTCTTCATTATTTTCCTTTTTCAAAATTTCCACCCTTTCTTTCAAGGGAGGAATTTCATCCAAATCTTCAAGTTCTCGCAAACACTTTTTGATCTCTTTTTCTTTATTCTCACACTGATACTTTGAAGAGCATTTGTAAGAACTTTTTATAATGGGGGTGGGAACTTGTGATTTCCATTTTACTTCTTCAATCACCTTCTTTGTTGTATCGATTCTAAAACAATCGCCTTTGTCTTTTGAATGCTTCACAGCTTCAAATAGATTAAAACAAATCTCCTCATCTAGAAGTCTCACTTTCATGAGACCGTCATCCATATCAATGGCCATTCTAGCAGTCTTCATAAAAGGTCTTTCAATAATCAATGAAGTATCCTCATCTTCTTCCATATCAATCACCACAACGTCTATGGGAAATAAGAATTTTTCTACCTTAACTAATACATCTTCCGCTACACCGTGAGGACGTGTAGTGGATTTATCGGCAAGTTGCAATGTCATTTGAGTAGCTTCCAATTCTATATGTCCCAACCTTTTCACAATGGACAACGGTATCAAATTGTTACTAGAGCACAAATCGATCAACCAATTGCTAACATAAATAATTCCTATTGTAACCAGCAAAGTGACTCGTCCTAGATCACTTTCTTTCTATGGAGGAGTCTGTTGAATAATAGCGCTGCAACTAGCATCAACCATGATATTTTTTTTATTCGTATACCTTTTCTTTTTGGTGAGAATATCCTTCATGAATTTTGCGTATTTTGGCATTTGCTCCAATGCTTCGGAAAATGGAATATTAATTTGTAATTGCTTAAAAATATTCATAAACCGAGCATAGTGTCTCGCACTATCTTTCTTTGGCGGAGCATAAGGATATGGAAAATTTTGAATCAGAATAATACTCATTTGTTCCTTCCCATTCCTAGTCTTTTTCAATTTTTCTTCTCTCATTCTCTTTTCTTCTTCCTTACTTTTTTTCTTTTCATTTTCAACTAAGTCTCCCTAACATTTTTTTCTACTTCTTTCTCATAAATTTCTTTTTCTTTTTCAACTACTCTATCTTTTTCCACTACTTCATCACCTATGCCCATATTAATTTCTCTACCACTTCTTGTAAGAATAGCCTTGCAATGATTTTTTGGGTTTGCTTGAGTATTCACTAAAAAAGTTCCTTCGTGTTGGTAGGCCAATTGTTTTGATAATTTCCCCACTTGCATCTTAAGGTTCTTTATAGCTGCATCGATGTTCTTTTATTAGACATTGACATTTGCATGAATTGAGTGAGGGTGTCTTCTATTTTTGAGTTTTCACTTGAAGCTTGTGGAGGTTGAGTGTAGTTTTGATATTGTTGTTTACGATTAGAAGTTCCGGCATCTTGAGGCCTCCATTGTTGTTGATAACATTGGTTACCTCTTTGTTGGTAACCTTGGTTGCCTTATTGGCAAGGTGGTCGAGGTTGATACCTTTGGTTTTGATTTCCCGCATAATTCGCCTCTTCCATAACCGGAGGACAATACCCGGTAGGGTGATCTCCCTTACAAAGCTCACAACTCGCCACTTATTTGTTGTTATTGGGAACTTCTTACATTTCTTTGATTTATTATGGAAGTTTTGACATTTGTTGAGTCAACAACCCCACTTGTTGCGAAAGCAATTTGTTTTGAGAAAGAATCGTATCATTAATTCCCAACTCAATCATGCCCGACTTCCTTTGTGTTGTACCACAATTATGATTTCCTTGGTGATCATTGAATGCCAGTTTATCAATAATAGAAATTGCTTCTTCAGCGCTTTTAGACATTAACGATCCACCCAAAGTAGCATCCAATAAAGTCTTGTGGACCGGTTGGAAACCATTTTGGAAGATGTGCACTTGTGTAAGTTCATCAAAACTGTGACCTTGACACTTTCGTAACATGAATTTCAACCTCTACCAATCTTCATTGAGAGACTTATTTCCGCCTTGAGCAAATAATGTAATTGCCGTCTCTGCTTCCATGAATCAATTGGGTGGAAAAAATAGTTCACTGAACATTTCTTATAACAAGTTCCAATCTGTCATAACCAAATTGATTGATCAAGATGTCATTCCTTTGCCTTCCCAATTAAGGAATGCAAAAATAGTCTCTTGAATAATGATTCTGCTTCAGCTTCCGGCGCTCCCGTTGCACCCGCAATTTCATAGAATTTTGTGAGATAAGTGAAAGGATCCTCATGATCCATACCAGTAAAAGGATTTTGGTATAGAAGCGCAAGAATTCCAATTTTCATCTCAAAGTGCCTCCCATTATGGATGTTGCATGCAAACTGAGCATTACGCCCTGGACTGTTGATACATGGTGTTGAAGCAGGAGATGGTGACTGACGTGAATCTGCCATGATTGGCATAACAATTGGTGTGGATGAAGAAGATTCTCCTCGCTCTTGTCTTTCTCTTGCAAGTTTCCGTCTCCGCCTTATTCTGCTATTGAGTCTACGAGCAGTTCTTTCAATCTTTGGATTAAAAAGAAGTTCTTCTGCAGGTACGCTCCCTCGCATAAACATATTTTGCACACTAGCCAAACAAATTAAAAAGCACAAGAGAATTACAGAGGTAAGAGATTCACAATACAAATATCTTAACATCACTAAACTATTGCAATGCTTGCAATATCCTACTCAACAATCCCCGAAAACTACGCTATTTCGTTTAAAATGTATTTCGGTTGGGTGTTTTATCATATCCATAGGGAATGTATGCAATATATAGATGCTCTCCGTTCAATATTTTAACGTTCTAAGTAAAGAGTTTTCAAAAGATTTCTTGTTTTGTAACATAAGTTTGTTGCAAAGAGTAAATTAGGGAAAATATGTTTTGTTTTATGAAAAGCATGTCAAGATTAGATTTCGTTAACCCTTTTCATATGTATCTGATTAATCAAGTATGTGAACTTAGTTTCGATCAATAGAATCGCATATCCTCACGAATCCGTTTATTTCTAAAGCAGCTCCGCGTATATTATTGTTCTAATCGCTAGATGATTTCTCAAAATAACAATCGAAACAATAAACATAAAGATCGATACAAATCAATATTAACTTTCAAATTTATGTCTAGAGTTTGTTGGTTAATAGATGAAGAAATTAGATCAAGACTTGGATAATATATGTCTAGAGTGATTCAAATTGTAAATACATCATTAAAAGCAAAGATCTTCATCCTCTATTGATCATAAACCTTGTTCACATACAATAGATTAAAAGAAATACATAATAGCAAGATTAACTACCTCTAATCTTGGCACAAAAGTGTTTAGCTACCCATCATCATGGTAGCTTGATCAACAAGTAAGAAAAGAAGCTTTGCTAGCATCAAAGTCAAAGAATCAAGGACTGATGCTCCAAAGATTTGATTCTCACTTCTCCTTGAGTTCCTAAGGTTTTTGATCTGGAAAACCCTTTCTATCTTCTAAAATTGCTGAAAAATGTAAAGTACAAGAGTTGTTGAAAATATCTCCAAAAGAAGATATTTATAGGAAGTGCACAAAGTGCAGTAAGAGGCACCGCGCTAAGCGCCATTAGGAGCGTACTAAGCGCGATCAGCAAAAATAGAGACAATTTCCCAGAAAGCACGCTAAGCACAGTAGCAGGCCGCTTAGCGTGGTTATAGACTTTAGCTACTGCCTCAAATAGAAAGTGCATGCTGATACCGCGTTGAAAAGCTCACTTAGCGCGAGTTATCGACATGAACTCCTCAAAAATCAAATTTTAGGCCTTCTTTCCTATACCAATTGTTCCTATCATCAAGTATAAGCAAGAAGACCTGTCAAAGAACATCAAAATGATCATAATTCACAATATTTACAATAAAATCAGAAATTAGCATAAATGTACTAAAACTACTAGATATTCTACTAAATTATCAAGGAAACCAATTGAAAGGGCCATAAAATATAGTCAAAAGTATGAAGAATTTAACCCTTAACAAGCCCTGAAGACGCTAATAGCAGCAGTATCAACAAAATCAACCATGTTTGGGAAAAGGACTATCCCAAAAATTATTAAAGCTAAAATATCAACAAAAGACCCCCACCTTTATGTACCAGCCAATTTCTGAGCTACCCCCATCTAAGTTTTTTTGAGACCTTAGATGTCTTTATCTTCTTTATAGTGCAACATTAGGTCTTCAACAGATATCCCCAAGGTCATAGCCATTTCTTTAAGTTTCACCTTTTGTCCTATGCCTATATAGGGTCCTTTTATATCTTTTGAAAAGTCATGATACATCCCAAACTCTTCTAGCGTGGGAACTAGTTGAAAATCTCGAAAAAGGAAGCATCGTAAGAGAGGATCATAAAATTGGGCCAAGGCAGTAATGGCCTCCACCTTTACAGGGACTCCCAATAGATCAAGAATCCTTCCATATTTGAGTATGAATTTCTTTTGGATAGAACCAGGAATTAGGTCTTGAAGAACCTCCAGACTTTGTACATCAGACATTTGTGCCTTAATGCGAAGGGCCTTTCTCTTGTTTGAGTCCATTTTCACAAAGTACAAAAACAAAATTTGAAATTCCCCATAAAATAATAAACATATGCAAAAAGGCTTGTTTTAATGAAAATGGTATGATGATATGAATGTTTCTTTTTATCTTTTAAGGTTGAGATAAAGGTATCATGCGTGCATGACCTAATTAGGGTAGGCTACTTACAATAGGTTCTAGGTTAAGACTGCTAAACCCCCTCACTTGTACGATCTAGAATTTTTGGATAATAGACCTAGGGTCATGGACTACACCCTTTTTTTTACCATGAGAAGGAGCAAGTCTTCCTATGGCAATCCTTCGGGATAAGTCTCATATAAGCGAGACCTTAGTAACAACCTTTGCAGGTTGATAGTATAAGGTCACCATGAGTGGGATAGGTTATAGAAGAGTTCCCTAGAGTCATGGATCAAATTCAAGGTTTCATCATGAAGAAGTGCTAGCCAAATCATGACAAACCCTTTGGATCGATCTACTCCAGGAAAAATTGTCATTAAAGACCCTATAGGATAAAAGTCCACCTGGCCAAAACAGGACGACCCTTATTTAACTTAATTTTTTCTCAAGCCTGGGTGTTAGCTTCACACAAATGTATATCCCAACCAACATGATATATGAAATAAAATATAAAATAGGAAGCATAAGAATAAAAAGAAAACCAAATAGGTAAACAAAAAGCCAGAAGTAGAAAAAGCAAACAAAAACGCACACAAAACCCTAGAGTTAGAAGTTAGGATGGACTTTTAGGGAAGTAAGAATCCCCAACATAGTCGCCAATTGTCGCGGATGGAAAATTAAAGATCGTCATCATCCTTTTTTCATTCCAAAGGAACGAGGAAATAATGATAAAACCTAATGTTAATGGTGAGACACTAGGTTCAGGAGTCAGTTAAACAAGAGGAAGGTGTTAGGCACCCCTCACTTCCACTCTATGGGAGTCTTCTCTATTTCTAGGGTTATTTTAGGAAGTTTGCTTAGTTATTTATTCTTACCTAATTATTCATTATTTCAATTATTATTTATAGAAAAATTGAGCTATCAAATTAATAAAAGAGAAGTTAATTAGAGAGAAAGACAAAAAAATGTTTTTTTTTTGTTATTACACTTGCTAGAGTGTTACAACTCTACGTCTATATACCCTCAAGTTTATTGAGCAATCAGAGCATCGTAGTTCGTCTAGAAAATGTTTGTTTGTTTGTTGATTTTAGATTTTGAAAAGTTCTCAATGTATCGGAACAAAGAAATGTTTGATTTGAAAAATGCCTAAATGCTCAAGGGCAGGGGAGTTAAGGTTTAGATGTGTTAGATTGATTTTAGGTTGATTATGTTATACTTTTGGTTCAGTTTGTTGTTTATGTTATCATATCTAGTATGAAAACAATTGTGGTATATTTTATGTGTTTGTTGCTACTGGTCTGTCTGGCTGTAATGTTTTTTTTATGGGTTGTGAAAATGATTTTGCAGGTTCTCTTCTCTTGTGCATCACAGGTTTAGCATGTGTTAGTGTGTATGAATGGTTTATATGTTAATAAGAGTTGGTTTAAAAGTTGACAAATTGTGGAGTTTTTGTGTGTGTGCATTCAACGTGTAAGTGACGGATTAGGATTTGTTGTTGGTAGTGAGAATGAGGGTTGTGGGTGCAATTGTTAGTTAATACCTCCTTTCTCACAATTTCTTCTTCTATTTTTTTGAACTTTTCTCTAATATTCTAAAAATTAAACTTTTCTATAATAATAATATCCTAATCTAATCAAATAAAATATTTTAATCCTAATATAATTAATAAATTTAATTATAATTTTTTCTAAAAACATCAACCTTATTATATTTAATAAATCTAATTCTAATTATAATCTAATAATAAGAAAATACTAATTAAATAAAAAGTAAATTCTAACATATTAAGTTTTATAACAAAAATTTTAATCCTCTAATTAAAATAATTTTAAACTAGACTAAATTAATTTTAATTCTAAATTCAATTTCTATTCTAAATTAAATCTAAAATAAAAACTATTCTAAAAGTAAAAGTAATAATTTTATTCTGGAGTTAAAATTCAATAAACTAACCTAAAGATTAAAGTACTAACTATATTAAACAATAAAAGTTAAATGGTAAAAATGTTAGAAATTGAAAATTAAAAATGAAAAAGAGACAAAAAGTGAGGGAGATGAGACTCGAACTCATGCCCTTATGCTTGTACATCCTTACAAGCGCTCTTTTACCAATTGTGAAATTTCATCAAATAAAGTGGTACTAAAAAGCATATGAATGGTGGACAAAATTTGGAGTACGGTAATGCACATCTAGACATAGACGATAAAATCCAATATACACAAATTACTAAGCTATCTAATTTTGACATCATTCAAAACACATCTAAGAGTATAGTGCATTCACAAGTATTTTTTCCCTCCAAGTGAAGGTACCTCAAATAGACTACATACATCAGAATGCACCACACCTAAAACATGAGTTGCTCTTGGAGGCATTTATGATGTGAATGATAATCTTGATTGCTTGCCTCTCATGCATATATCACATGATTTCTTTGGTACCTTATTCTTACGAATTCAATGTACCAGCTTCATTGAACTCAGATGCCCTAAGCTTCTGTAGTTCAGATAACCGAATCTCTTATGCTATAACTCACTTTCCCCTTTAGTACTTCTTGGACTAAGGAATTAACTGTCTCTTATTGCAACATTTCCTTTGAATGTCCTATTTCTTGTTAGTCCAGACTGCATAATGAGCTTTTGGTTACAGTCATACAACTTTAAGAGATTGTGCTTCATGGTTACTGAAAATATATTTTCAATCAGCTTACCTACACTCATCAGATGACCATTCATGCCAGGAACATACCATACATCCTTAATCAATACATTTTTGACATTGTTCAACTTAACTCTAACATTTCCCATTCCTTTAGCATTCATATACTCATCATTAACACATATAATCTAGAGTCAAAATCAATCAGTCATTGCTTATTTCCAGATAGGTGATTTGAGCAACCAATGTCCATATACCACCAATCTACCATTGATCCATCTACATTCTAAAATGTCATCACTAACACAGGTTCATCATCAGAATCTGATTTGGCTATGTTGGCTTCTTCACCCTTGCTAACCTTGTTTGACTAGTAATCAGCAACAAAATGGCCAAACTTGTTGCAACTGTAGCACTGAACCTTTCTCTTGTCAAAATTTTTTCCCTTATGATTATTCTAATGTTTCTTATTACAATTGGAGAGTTCAGACTTTGGAATACCACCACCATACTTATTTTTGTTCTGTAATCATGCTTGCTTCTGGTTTTTCTTACCAGAAGAAGCTTTTAGATTCTGAGCTTTCAGAGCCTGTTCTAACTTTTGCTCAGAGTTTCTTTCAGTCACACGTAACTCTTGTACCTTTAAACTACTATGAAGCTCTTCAATTCTCATGGTGCTGGTATCTATAGAGTGTTATATGGCTATAACTATGTAATAAAACTGAGGACTAAGTGATCTCAATAACTTTTCAATGATTACTTGTTCAGAGAACGTTTTTCCACAAGACATCATCTCATTAGTGACCATAATTACTCAGGAGATGTAATCATGTACCTTCTCATTGTTCTTCATGCTGAAATTCTCATATTTCTTATGTAGGGACTGAAACTTGACCTTCTTCACTAATGCGTGTCACAACTGCGAAAAAGGGCCGGTAAACAGACAAAAGAGTCGCCACCGAATATTATTTATCCCAAAGAGAGAGAAAGGAAATTATCGAAGAAAACCTAAGAGAACGGGAAAGACAAGGTCATCGCAACCAAATCTTGGGTTCGGGAGTCAGTTACACAAGGGGAAGGTATGAACACCCCTCACGTCCGTTGTACTCAACGGGATCCACGCTTGTTGTCTAAATCTATGGGTGAGAACTGTTAGAACACAGATTGGTGTTTAATATATCTCATTGTTTTGATGATAACATAAATGAAATTTTGCATAAAGGAAATATATAATCTAATTGTGTTTAAGTAAGTTTGTTTCAGATCTTAAATTATATATTCATCTTGAAGCAACAATTACATCTGCAAGTGAAAAGAACGTTTAGACTCTGAGCGTCAGAAGCAACACTTCAGAAGACTCTGAGCGCTGCTTGAAGAGACTCTGATCTGCTACAGATGACTCTGAGTGAAGCTAAGAAGAATTTGAGAAAGAGCGTTACAACATTGTTTTAGAAGACTCTGGAAGTACTTCACGCTGCAAGTACAGAGGATCTGATATTCAACTCTACACTGTTTGTAACATTCACGCTTTAAGCACTATTGCTGCAAGTCTTTGATCTGAAGAACAAGGAACTACATCAGAGGATCTGATGTTAGTTTATTCAGTTGAAAAGATGCCAGCTCAAAAGAAAAGATCCGTTGCTTATCCCAACGTCTGCTCCAACGACACTATTCCTCATTTATGCATGACACAAGAATTCAGACACAAAGCACACGTCTGAACATTCCTCTTCCTGGAAAGGAAAAGTCATTAGAGGACAAAAAGGAAATAAAAGCAGCAGAACGTACATCATGCACAATCTTTGAGATAAAGACTTGAAGTAGTATTTAAACTAGCTTCAACATCTTTCCAACGTTGATGAATCATTTGAAAGAAAATCAACTTACAAGCTCTCATTCAAATATTCTTCAAAGCTTACTATTTTCATATTTGTTCTTAACTTTGTGTAAACATCAGTGTTGTGATATAGCTTATTAGAAGCAAAACATTTAACACAAATTGTTAGTTTATCTTTGTAAAATATTTCCTTGAGAAGACCAAGTTGTGGTCAGATTTTCTTGAGAAGCCTAAGACAGTTGTCTTAGTGGTTTACACTGTAATCAAGTTTTATATAGTGGATTAAGTCCTTGTTGAGAAAGGAAAATCACCTGGGTAGGGTGGACTGGATTAGTTTGAGTTCAAACGAAAAAGGATAAAAATATCTGTGTTATTTTTTATCTACT